CGCAAAAGGTACATTTCAAGAAATTGTACATGAGAATTTGGCAATTCTCAGTCCATGTTTGGAAAAACTTATAATTGCTTTTAAATTGGTCAAATTATATTTTTATCTACATATTTCGCGTCTAATCCGGTGAAACAGAAGTGACGTGTTCAATCGATTAATAAGTTTTTGTTTGCCTTTCTCTTCTTACATGTTCTGCCAAATAGACGTCAATTATTGGTCACAAAATCGAGCACATAGGAAAAAAGGCCATATGTAGATAATGAAGAACTATAACATTGAATTTCTTGGGATGTCTGCATCCATAAGAAATTTCGGAGCTACTCATTAGTAGTAATAGAACTCTGTGCAAAGTTTTCTCCCATGATGAAATGACAAAGAGATGCAACTTCAATTCCCTCATAATATTCAATTTATCCTATTTCGACAGAGACGATTGGCATTTCATATGAGAGTGGCAGCCAATTGCTACTCCCTTGTCCAGGCTTGCTTAGAGCCTTAACATGATTAGACTCCAAGCTGGGGCTACAAATTTATTATGGAAAAAAATACATAACTACTTGTATATAAAGATAGAGTAAAAGAATAAATTAGTCGAACACAAAGCAAATTTCCCCTATTATATCATGGTACAACACCTAGACAATAAGATACGAAATTTAAATGCAAAATGTGCGACAACAAAGCAAAAATGAAAATAAAAAAAATTATATAATGTATGGCATGAAAGAGGAGATCGAGGACAAGAGAATCCTAAATGGATTTAATTTCTGGTCTACGCTTTGAAAGCATTGTTGGTCCATGTTTTGACTTTGGTCAATTTGTATGATCAAATTAAAGATAGTTTGATTAAAGTATATTATGGGATGCAATTTCGAATGAAGGTGGGTTTTCATTTGTAAGTTGATGACCACGAATTTTAAAGTATTTGGACTTTCACGAAACATTGTTGTTTTTAATTATTTGATATAGACATTGTCTATTTGATAAATTAATTGAACTTTAAAAAGAGTTCATGAACTCTAAGTTTAAGTATAACCCAAAATTGTGGGGGTTATCATTAATGCTTGCAAACTTATATGAAAAGTTCAAGATATGATGAATGCAATGTTAGTTCTGAGTTATCTCAGAATATGGGGGAAAATTGGGTTATCAGCAAATTACCTTTTAAATAAGGTGCCCTAAAAAAAACGAAAAAAAGACTATCTATGAGTTATGAAAAGGAAGAAAATCTTCCTATAAATACTTAAAATTGTGAGGTGGATTTTATTTTCATTGGTTATGCTCATAATAGTAGTGCTTACAGGTTTCTTGTTATAAGTCTAAAATCCCAAGGATTCACAAAAATACGATTATGGAATTAAGAAATGCTTCATTCTTTGAACATGTGTTTTCATACAGAACCAAAGAGAAAGCAAGCTCTTCTAAACGGATACATAAGACTATGATTAGAAATAGTCCGGACTAAGAACTAAAAGAGGAGGCTGAAGTTAAACCAAAACGCATCAAAAGAGAAAAGGACAAAAAAAAATTTATGGTCTTGATTTTCTGACTTATATGCTGAAAAGTGAACCTCCAAGAAGCTGTGCACTCTTCAGAAAGACCTCAACAGGAAGAGGCCATTAAAAGTGAAATAAATTCTATTTTACAAAATCATGCATGAGAGCTAGTGGATCTTCCTTCGGAAAGTAAACCACTAGACTAAAAATGAATTTTTATAAGGAAAATGAAAGCAAATGGAACTATCGAGAAGTATAATGCTAGACTAGTGATAAAATGTTACAAACAATGAGAATGTTTTGATTATTTTGATACATATTCTCTAGTGACGAGACGAGAATAACATCGATCAGGATAATACTTGCGATTGTCGCTCTACGAAATCTTGAAGTACATCAAATGGGCGTTAAAACTACCTTTTGGAATGGAGATTTAGAAGAAAAAATCTACATGGAACAACTTGAGGGTTTTTCATCACCAGAGCAATAAAAGAAAGTATGTAAATTAGTAAAGTCATTGTATGGTTTGAAACAAGTACCCAAAATAATGTCATGAAAAGTTTGACAATGTCATGATAGAATGTGGATTTAAGATCAACGAGTGTGACAAATGCGTATACGTCAAAGCCATCGAAAATGATTATGTCATTTTATGTCTTTATGTTGATGACGTGCTTATTGTTAGTAGCAATGATAAAATAAATAAATTCACTAAAAATATGTNGAGTGTGACAAATGCGTTTACGTCAAAGACATCGAAAATGATTATGTCATTTTATGTCTTTATGTTGATGACGTGCTTATTGTTAGTAGCAATGATAAAATAAATAAATTCACTAAAAATATGTTAAGTTTGACAGGAAAGATACGGGGTTAGCTGATGTGATACTTGGAACGTCAAATGGATTCTTTATAAACCAGTCACATTATGTGGACAAAATTCTGGCGAAGTTCAAGACTTGTGGGTGCAACATCACTAGTTGCATATACATTTCTCATTGAGGAATTGTGGGGGTAACTTATATTACAAGAAAAAATTCTATAAATGGGAAAATGTAGAAAGCCCTTATTAGTTTTAGAAGTATAAGGATGGTTCACATAAACACGATGCAATTTAAGTCAAAGAGGATAAATACGATGAAAAATTATTGCATTTGTATTGGATATGCAATAATAAGTGTTGGAATATTTGAAGAATATTCTGAAGTTGAACTGTATTATAGTTGATACTGGTTTAATTGTAAATTGACTACCATAATTCGAAATCCACTAGTAAAAATGTTTGAATAGTGCAAGTGCAATCATATGTCAGAAACCCTCTAACCATATTATTAATTGAAAGATTATAAATCTTTAGATAAACCTAGTCAAAAGCATACGACTTCATGAGATGATTTTTTAGTTGGTGACAATTTGTGTCTATTAAATGAATCGATTGTGATAACTAACTATATTTAATGAGATACATAGTCACTTGTAATGGTAAGTATAGACATATACGTCGTAGACATAATACCATAAGACAACTACTCTCAACTAAAGTTATCTTTATTGACTTTGTANATATTCCAAGATGGTCAAAACCTGTGCCAGCAATTTGCATATATTGTGATAGTCAATCAGCAATTGGAAGGGCACAGAGTAACATGTACAATGGTAAGTCTAGACATATACGTCGTAGACATAATACCATAAGACAACTACTCTCAACTAAAGTTATCTTTATTGACTTTGTAAGGTCAAATGATAACATTGTGGATCCGCTAATCAAATGGTTAAATAGAGAGTTAATTAGAACAACATAAAAAGAAATGGGACTTAAGCCCTTGAATGAATAAGTCAATACAAAGGAAACCCAACCTATTTGACTGGAGAACCAAAGATCCAGATTCAAAAGGATAATCTAATCGTAAAGACTTAGTTGAATCACTGTGGGGATAATACTACATTCCTATGATACTGCAGTAATGCCCGTAAGGACGAAGGATAAGTAATAGGCTTTTAATGATTCTTATGTATCGAAATTCGAGCGAAATAATGTGGGTTACTTGTATTAAGAAATCACCAATGTGAGAGAGAAGTGTGGTCGCTTTTAAGAAAATTGAGTGAGGCTAAATTCATAGGAACTCTTGCAGAACCAGGAATATGTTCTTGACCATAAACGAATATAATAATGAGAACTGAATTGTGTTACGAAAAATCCTATGTGGAATATATTATCGTTTACATAAATGGCAGAACAATTCAAAGGCAGCGCATTTTAAAGTAAATATGTTTTCACAAAAAAGGTTCAAAGGGTAATACCTACCTATCCTCTGTTTGTTTTAACCGTTGAAGTATATCACCAAGTTTTTATATCTCCTATTTCCGTGTCGCTCCCAATTTTCATTCATGTAGGGGATTATTGGAAAAAATATTTT